GCCATGTGAAAACTCACCTGTCCCTCAGTTACAATGTGCAGAAAACAGCAATGTATGTTACCTACAAAAATACTACAAAAACAGGTAAAAACCCCCTAAGTTTAAATCCTTGTGTTGATTATGCCACATAGGTAAGTGAATTATCAATCCCCACACTCTGGGATATGGCAAATGGGTGACATAAAACAGCTAAAGGACACAAGCTGCACACTGACCATTGATGTAACTAGGATTTAAGCCTAATGACAAAACATACAGAACAATCTTCAAATAAGCACTGAAGACATTTTACAGCAAGAAATACCAGAATACTGAAGCAGATCAAATATCCCATTGAAAGTCAAGACTGGTGCTATAGAAAACCAATTTAAATTTTACAGTAACTGGAAATACTAAGATACTAATATATTCTGGAAAAAGATTATGAAGAGTAATGTCAACAACAATTTAACATTTTATCCAATAGCATATCTAGAATATTTGAAGACAGAAAAGTGTTAACTCCTCCTCCTCCTAAATATTTCTAATTAATACAAATATGATAAATGTCATCACTGCATTCTCTACAAAGTGATACTCTGTAGCACCACATCACTCTTAAGTACACCTTATTCACCATTAAAGGATATTAATTTCTAGATTTCTACTCCCCAAAAATACCTCTGACGATGATTTTGAGCCATGTTCAAAAGAAAATATCTTTTTGAATCATAATAATCATAATATGCTGGACATTGTTCCACACCATAACTGCTAGAATGGATCAGCATTCCTTCACTCCTCAGTAGTAATCTTCCACAAAAAATGACCTGCACCTCCATGCTGTGGAGCACTTAGTAAAAATGTAACCTCTAAACCTCTGGCTTAAGAGATGAATTATGTATCTCTGGGGATCTGTGATCCCATGAATAAGGAACATAGAAATAGAAAAGGGAGAAGAAAACTAGTAAACTCTACTACAATTATATCAGGAGTAAAAGAAAGACCAAATGTTTAAATGAAACAAAGGGCAGAGTTACTTAGCAGGCTACTTAACATTTATTAAAGATTTCTGATTAAGATATGAAAAATTAACTTAACAACCCTGTTAAAAAATATCTGCTAGACACCTATGAGTTAATGGTTTTGGGGTTTATGCCCTTCTATGTGTCTAATAACTTCAGAGACAAAAGAAAAAAAAACCCTCACAGCCTAACAAATAAAACTCTTTTTTGTTTTTTATCCAGGGCAGATTACACTCTAATTCTACACAGGTAAATAAAGTCAGTTTAGGCCACTGACTGCCAAGTGCAGACATTCTGTCAAAGTTAATTGTGGGTTAATCAAAAACATGTTTCAACCATCAGAACCAAGACAACTGTGAATTTACAAAACAAATCATTATGAATTGTCTTCAGTGCTCAAGCCATAAATCTGTAAAACATTTCAACTGCCAAACTGCAGTATTTAATTTTAATTCTTTAGTATGTTCAGTAAACAAAGACAAACCACAGCAGGACTAAAAAAGCCTACACTGAACTTTATGTACAATACTCTACAAAACAAATCTCTCCAAAGCCTAATAAACTCCCAATTAACAAGGACTTGTGAACTGTAAAAATCACACCTCCAGGAATTAAACCTTACCAAAACCTGAACTTTTGTTGTAGGGGATGTTCAATATGAAGCATTAAAGCTTCAGTAATTCTCTGAGGGCTTACACTTACTCCACAGAGGAAGGCACTGAAACAAAGGTGACACCTTCCAGTATGATGATCAGCCACATGAAAGCCCATCAATCACTCATCACAACACGAGTTTACAGAGCAGACCAAACACCAAGGAGAATGTGTCCTCAACTGAATCAGAATGCAGCTGTTAGAACTGAGTATCATTCTTTCTAGTGTGATTTTTAATAAGATACACTAGCAACTGTTGTTTTGTCTTTGCAGATTTTGAATATTTCAGAGGCTGTAGGCTTGTCATTTAGATCAAAACATCACTTAAGAAAATGCAACAGACTTCAAGCAAACATAAATATACTGAACTTCTATTCCTCATAATGCATATGCATTGATTTCATGAGGCATGTTTTCAAAGAGTATTCATTTTAGGAAATCATTGTGCCTAAAAATAATTACTACATACTAATTTAACGTGTAATAGCTTTGCCTCCTGTCTCCAAATAGGCATTATACAAATATAAAATAATTCATTCCCGTCCCTTGTTTTGCTTGGTAACCCAAGACAATCACAAAAGAAAAAAGGGAGGAAGAGTACAGTAACAGTAGGAACAGTGTACATTGTCATCCATGAGTTATCTGGTTTGGTGACATACCTAAGTTATTGTTTCCAGTTAAACCTAAAGAATTTTTGGTCTAAAAATTAGTAATTGCATTCAAACTTCCATGAAAATTGTCCTCAGGCCAACTACACAATGTTATATCCCTAAACAGTCAAAAGACCCTAAGAAGTCACATATGAAATACAAAGTTTTGCAAGAATACTCTTTTTAAGGCAAGCCAGTAAAAGAAGATATACCAGTATTACCTATATTACATAAATGAGCATTTTTGCTTTCTCTTTGTTACTGAAAATTATTTACTTCTCAAGTATGTATCAAGAATGTGAAGCAACCTGGCTGTATTGCCATCAGAGGTTTTCCAGATCTTGAACTGCAAAACATAATGCACACACAAATATGGTTTAAACTTATTTAAATGAGTGCAGCAAAACTGTAACTTAAGGGGAAGTTAATGAGAAGCAGCTTCAGCTGAATTTCCCTTGGATTTTACACCCATGTGGTTTGCAGGCAAAGAGCTCTCTGATATGGAAAGATCAGCTGAAGAAGAAGGATGAGTTCCTGCTTCAGGATGCCTGAGTCACTGAAATAGGCTAAAACACTATTAAAAAATCTTCAAAGTCTTTCAAAGAGTTCTGACAGGCTTGAAAGGGAAACAGAGAACTTTAAAGTGTTTCTTTAAACTCTTTTTGTTTTACAGAATAAATGAGTGTCTGGATTTAATTTTAAAAACACAGTTGCTTTTAACTTTCAAAATAAAATACACAATTTGCATATCTTGATTAGCAAAAGTTTTCATAAAATGTCAGATTCCCTAAACCACCTTTGATTTTTAGGCATAATGTATTCTCAACTCGGAAAGCATCTTTCAAGTCAAAATATTCAAAAGGTAATATGAACATAAAAAGCAGAACAAAATAAAAGTGACCTACCCACACCAAAAAAAAATCCCAGAAACAACCTGGATATACTGAATCAATTTTGACCATTTTGAATTAAATAGCTCTGCATCTAATACACCATTTATTCCACAATTATAATATTCAGTTCTATGAGCAATTACAGACAACTTTAACATGGACACAAAGTCACCAACTTTTATATTGGTCAGAAGACAATTACATCATTAAGTGCTGTTCCTTTCATTAAAACTAATTTTGTTTATGATGAGGGTTAGAAAATTTTCAACATTTCCTTTTCTCTGTTGAGAGGCCACACTACAATAAAGTATCCTTTACTTAATAACAGTTTTGGAAGCTGAAGCTAATATACTGATCCTTCAGGATTGTTGTTTGGTAGCCACCAAGACTGTTTAATCAAAACATCAGTTAATTCCACCGAACTGGAACACCATGCTCTGTGTTACTGTTCTAGCCTGTGTTATTGAAAGGTACTTAAGTTTCAAAGATGTTTCTAAACTACAAATGTAAACGTTGCTTTACTCTGTAAGTAAATATCATCTCATGCATACTGTTACTGAAATAATGGTTCATTTCAAATGATATACCACAAATAAAGCACTTCTTTTAAATTCTTTTACTTCCTGCTTAACAAGTATTTCAACTCCTGAGAAAAATAGTAAGGCTTTGTAAGACTAGGTCAGTTACCTCTCATTCTTGAATTTCACAGTTGGATAAAAGTCAATAAATAAAAAACTGTTTTAAAGAAAAAATAATTAATTCCTGTTATTAAAAAAATATCTTTTTTTTGTTTGTTTCACAGTGAACACAATGTTTAATGAAAAAATGTTAACAGTACCAAAAGCTTCTATTTCCATATATCCTCAGAGTAATAAAGCAGCAACAAGGGTTATCACCATCCAACCCCACATTCACACACTTTCCCCTTCCCTCCAATGTGCTTTGGATTAGCCTAAAGGAAGCACCTCTAATCATATCCAGCCAAACTGATCTTAATACTCACAAAGCCTTTGCAGCAAGTAGGAAATGAAGCTGAAGACAATGAACCCATTCACATACACAGGACCAGGAACACAAGCAAACACTCCATGACTGACTGAAGTTCCAAAAAGGAATGAAACCCCCTTTGTAATACTGCCTAATAAAACCACATAGAAGATGTTGCATTTCTTTGTTGGTCACAAATTAAATATAATCTCTTCTTTCCCAAACCTCACATATAATCAGCGTTAGCACAATATTTCCATTAAACAGTCTTATTTCAACAAGCCCCTCTTCCCAACATTTTCAGCCTCTGCCCTGCTAGGGAAAAATGAAAACATTTCCTATGATGATGTAGAGGGAAATAATCACATGATGTTTCTGATTTTCCTTCTCTCTCACACTGTGACCACCTACACTTTCATATTCTGATCTGCCACCCTCTTTTTACTGCCTGTACATACTAACAACCACAGTAACTTTATTCCTATGGAAGGTGTCTATGGATGCCTTTACTTCCATGGAAAACTCAACACAACCAAGCAGTAAGCTTGGTTAGGATTTTTGGGTTGTGTCAACTGCTGACTGAAATTAAGGCCAATCTTTTATCCCCAGTTTGCTCATCAGCTGTTGATCACCTGACGGAAGTTATGTCACCATGTGTCACAAACAGACTGAATTTTAATACAGATTTGAAATTGCTTACCTATCTTAGCTCTGAAACATACTGAAAACTGGCACATTTCTTATGAAACAGTTAAGTAGCTTCACCAGAAGAAGCTCCTGTTAAAAACACACACAGACATACAAACTCTCACCTTCCCCAGGACTGACTGCAGATGGGAGACTGGTCCAGTCTAGGGTCCAGCTGGGGGATGGATGAGGAGCAAACTTTGCTTCAATTCCATTTTCCTACATGAAAGAAGGAAAAAATAAGTTAAGACCCTTCACCCACTTAAGATGGTATCAAAATTCTCATTAACTTTAATGGCATCAGATCAAACTGCAGCACTGTCAGTTTAAATGAAACTGAACAGGCAGATGACTCTACATTACACAAAATTCAAATTATGTATTTCCCTCATTCTCATAAAAAGCCCTCCTAAGTTTTTTTTAGGAAATGCTGTCAGCTTCTATGCAAAAAATATTGAATTATGGAACATGATGGACAGCTTTCTTTAACAAAACTCATTAGGGTTCCCAGACGTTCACAGCTTTAATCAAACAGCAAAACAAAACCAAAAAAACCCCAAACCAATTGAAAAGGTTGGGTAATGAAGCCAAACATAAAAGCAACAGGGTTTTTTCCATTCTTTATATAAATAATTTTAAAAGAGAAATACAATATTGCAATTCAAACAAAATGTTACTTTGATTATTCAGAATTATTTATAGGGCTCCAGCAGTCCTATCATTGCCCAATTCCTGAATGAATCAAATATCAGAAGAGAAGAAAAAAGCTGAATCACTTCTAAGTCAATGAGGATCAGATTTAAGACAAACAAAGGGCATTAAACTGTTCAAGGCTGTCTAAATCAGCTTGTACAACTTTGATAAATTCTTCCTAATCCAAATCAAGCCAATATGCCTATAAAAATAACTCATTAAAAAGTTTAAATTACCATTAACTTAGTCATGGTTGGCCTTGGACCACCTATAAAATGACTGTCTTCATGATCCTCTTCTAACTCATCAGGAACTGAAGCAGAGTCCTGTAGCTGTTCCTTGGGAGGAGACACCAACTCTGGAAGCTGGAGCAGCTCCATTTTGCATTTGTCAGCAGCTTTCTTTACCCCAGGTACTTCTTGAACTCTTCGATACCAACTGGATATCAGTGGCAAGTTTACCAGATTTTTGCCTTGCTTCTTGCTGGAAACCTAAAATAATAAAATTAGAAGGTTAGTGGCTGCTGTAAATTTCTTACTACAGGCCACCAAAAGGCACAAACTACAGGAGGAAACTCAGCTCCACGCTGAGCACAAGCACTCACAGCATGATGGCAATCAGCTGGTTCAGAGCTCCACGTGGAACTGCCAGTTGGCCATTTAGACTTCATCTGCAATTCCCATTTGCTTAATAGGATGAAAAGGTTTACATGACCAACTTCAATCATAATTTCAGTCAGTAACAGGAAAACTCCATAAAAATAATACTCTTAAATATATGCTACAGGAAAGATTAGTTTTGGTTGGTCATTAGACAAAAACCCCAATTTGCAGTAATTTGCAATGAATACTGAACTCTAAGCATGACATTATGGTACCTGAATGGTTTTTCACACAAGTACTCCCTTAAAAGCTCATCCACCAACAGCTGTTTTGCTAGGAACTGCAAGTCTGAAATACCTTAGACTACGTGGTAACAGGCAGCCATTACCCCTGGTCTTTATTCAAGTCTTTGCACTATGTCTATGGCTTTTTTTTTTAAATTAGTACTGACTTTTTTTAATCATTAATTACTTTTTAGAATCTTATGTTCATATTTTTATACAATAACAGTAACTAGTATATTTATTTTCTGAATTAGAGTATGTGATTATGAATTAATGTGGCATCCAATAGAAACAAGCATTTTAAGTGTAAAAAACGAAATAAAAACATTTTGTGAGTAAGAATATCTTCCAAATATTTTTTAAAAATATACCCAAATCACTTTTTCAGATGAAATCCAACTACTTTTAAAAAGGATGCACTTGATGAAATGAAATAACTTTTGTTTAGATTCCCAAATGTTCTAGAACAACAGAGATCATCCTCTTGCAGGAGAGGTTGTGAAGTCTCCTTAGAGGCACTCAGAATATAACTGGACATGATCCTGGGCAACTGGCTGACCCTGCTCTGAGCAGGGTGCTTAGACAAGATGAGCTCCAGATGTGACTTCCAATCTCAATTATTCCAACTTCAACTACTCTGTGATGCTGTGCCTGCTTTAAACAGAAAATTAAAAATCACAATTACAGGGACAGGCAGAAAAGGCCATGCAAACCCAACATTCTTCCCCGGAGCTGTGCGAAGAGCGGAAATAGAAATTGGCAAAGAACACCTGAAATTACACAAAATTTCCAAGAGCTCTCCTGCGTGCTGTGTTTATAATATGCTTAGGGTAATCACAAGTAATTAGCAATAGCTAAAGGACAAAAAGGATGAACTGTGTAACTTTAGTATCTAATTTAATAACCTAATAGGAACATGGGCAAAACCACATTAATTCAGTTAAGGAAGAAGTCTTTTGGAAAGCAATTCTAAGAGGCACTGTTACACTTGTTATCAAGTGTTCTAAATTGTATTTTAAAAAGTGAATAGTGTTTTTTCCCAGATGAGGACCTCAGCTTTTGTTATACCTCTATTAATTTTCAACAGTTACAACTAATAGAAGGCACAACAAAGGTAACCTCAGAATGATAACAGCATTGAAATGAGGTAATGAAAAACAACCCTTCAGCTTCATTATCTTACTTTTGGTAATTATAATTACAATCAGCTAGTCAGGTCTCCTCATATTTATAGGATGATATTTTCCAGACACATACTCATTTGAGACTTCATTATTATTCACACCCTTAATTCAAAGTAGAACTGCAACTACAGTGATTTTTTTTAAACACAATCCAGGAAGCCCAGTTATACAAGTGACAAATAATACTTGAATACAGAATTGAACTCTGGGACTTCCATCAACAAGTGTAGTTTCAACTCACGGCCTGCAAGATGCAAGTCTTTCAATTTTGATGACAACTGCAGGCATCAAGGTATAATTGCTCAGAAAACATTCACCAGAGAACAGAAATAAACAAACATTATCCCAGAGCTCTGGTTAATCAGGTAAAAATGAAACTGAAAGCCAGGTTTTCAGGGCAATCCTTGGTGTGAGTTAACACAAGTGTACTGTAAAATACCTAGGTCATGAGCTGCAGAACACCAGGGCTCAAGGGCAACATATAAAAAGTCAATAAATACAAAATTCTTGGCTGCTCACAGTACATCCACAGAATGATCCCAACTACATCACTGAAATCAATTATGCATTGGATGCAAAAATCTTCTCATGCCTAGCACCACTAAATCAACTATTACTGTAAAAAGTTATGCTCTTATTTAAAAAGGTCTTGGAAAAACAAAGGCTGAAATACATTAAAGTTTTTTAAATAGTAAGAAAGCATTTTGTTTTAATACTTTTGTTTAGTATCATCCATAGAAGTTGCTGTTCACCTCCAGTTATGTGACTTGCAAAACAAACAAAGCAGATGTGAATTAAGAAGCATTTCTGTAAAATAAGTCATCCTCTCAATTCAAAGGCAGCATATTGCTATCATCATACAGAAATCTACTGAGGATGATGATAATGGTTAAAGAAGTTATAAAGTGGACATTTGTCACATTCTTAATATTTGATAGTCATTATCTTTATTTTGAGACTGTTATCCTCAATCTGACTAACAGCATCCTCTCCAGGAATTCCATTTGTTTTCAAACACCATAAGGGAAATTTGGCAAACCAACTTGCAAAATCAAAATGCAAATGTTCCTGGAATAGACACCAGCTTAGCTATAAATCTCACAGAGTAACTGCAGGAATAGAACTGTAGGAGGCAAACTCACTGTATCATTTCACTGTGATGGGAAATAAAGACATAGTTGTAATTTCCTTAAATCTCTCCTATGCATCTATCCCCATAAAAGTAAGTACACAGACTGTGCTGAGCAAGACCCTTGCACAGTCTTACCACAGAAGTTTTCCCCACTGTAGAACTAGTTTTTAAGTTGAGTTCAAGTCAACTGTACTAGTATTTTTTAATTATTATTTTCTGGGCAAATTGGTGCCAAAATATTTCAGTATAATATTTTAATAGTTAACAGAGTTTACTAACCATTGATATGCTTTATATCTAGAAGTAACTTTAGTGACCTCACCAATCCCCGTTTTTTGTGTTTGTACAAAGACAAGACAAATCTTTGATTTTGGGTTAAGGTCACTTTGGAAACGCCACGGTATGTTCAAATTAACATATTAACACATTTTAGATTCTTAAAAAACAAACATGTACACTAATTGATACTTGCAGAATTTGTCAGCTTACCAAGAACTGATGGATGCATGGCAAAAGCACTAGATCTGCCACAGTAAAATAAAGCCCTTCTGCAAAAACGTGGTCCAAGAGCGGGAGGTCAGAGGTTTTTGTTCTCCTGATGTGAGGGGCCTCCCTGTTGATTCCATCTGGTGCTTCCTGGGCAAGTAGTTTGGAGAAAGCTACACTCAGTTCCAAACTTGAGGGTGGATGTTCATGGACTTCTCCTGGTCTTAATCCCTCTGTTGCTTCTTCACCAAGCACAGGCACTGCAGCCTTGGCACCTGCCTTCTGTTGTTGAAGTTTCTGCCTTCGAATTTTGTCATCATTATGTACTCGGACAGGTTCTCCAAGCTTCCTTTCCAACAGTAAAATGTCAGGAGGAATAGCCTGGCAGTGCTCAGGAGAGGCTGTCAAAAATCGTTCAACAGCCAGAGGTATGCTGATCTCACAGAGCCTGGTCCACTGGCTAACCTGTCAAATAAACTTATGTAATTAATGTCTCCACAGAAACAAAATCCAGGGTAACTTTCAGTTGCTTTGGTTACTCAATCACTTCAAGCAAAAGAATTCCAGCTCTAAATACATTCTTTGTTCATCTCAGAAACTCAGATATTTCTCTACTGTTATTACAACAGCAGAATTAGGAAGCTAAATCTTATATATAACAGAACGGTTATCCAGTACAGCATATTTTTATTTCCTTGTTATTGACATAAAATTAGGGTGGCTGTGTAACTCATAAGAAACAAAGCTGTGAACTGAGTTGAAGGGATGGTGATCAATGGCAACCATGGAAACAGCAATCATGCCAGGGTGGAGCTCTGCCTCCTGAGAGGTGCGAGGAAGGCAAGTCTAGATGGATGAGCTGCCAGATGAGCAAACTGCTGCGTGATAAAGGGAATGACATCTCAACTCAGGTAGTGCTGGTTAACAGGTCACACTCTACCTGAAGGCCAGTTAGGAATGGAAATCTTTAAGGGTCTATGCTGAGGCCCATCCCATTTCATCTTTACCTGGAGCGGGGAGATGGATTACACTCCCATCAAGGATGACAGGGAATTGAGAAGAGCAGACAACAAATTCCCAACAAACTCCAAGGTAGAGCTGCTGCTCACATGAGCCTGCACAGACTAGAGAATGAGCTGAGAGGAACTGATGTGAAACTCAGAATATTCCATACCTAGGAGGGACTTATCCCCTGGAATGGTACAGATTAGGGACTGAACACCTGGCCAGTTAGCCTCTGCTGAAAAGACATTGGACAACCTGGTGAGGACAAGCTAAACAAAAGCCACCTTGACAGAAAAGGCTAGCAATATATCGTGCTCTTGAAATCAAAATCAGTAAGAAATTAGGTATTTTTTAGTTTACTTCAAACTTTGTAACTCATTTATACTGCTAGACATGAAACAAAGATCTGACCTACTTTTTAACATTAGGTTCTTTTTGTGCTGCTAAAAAGTAGTATCTTCAAAAATAATTATTTTTCATCTTTGTGCCAAAATACAGGTACTTCTCCACAGAAGAAACAGCATTTTCTAAGCAAATTAAGTTTTTTACTAAAAGAACTTACTTGACATGAATATTAAGAGTCTACTTCAGAGCATTTAATGCTTATTAAAAAAACAATCAATGTATCTAAGAGAGAGACACACTCACTTCAGCACAGGCTTTTAAGCAGGTCTTCTTAAAGCCCAAGAGTTCCAAAACCTCCTTTTTAGATGGATCTGCCTCGAATGTTTTCTGTATTATGTGTCTTAAGACCACAGAAAGCCCAGCTCGGCAGAATTTGTCATCTTTCACGACAACAGCAGGTAAAGTGCAGCTCTGCACAACCACTGGAAGCTGACACCTGGAGATTAAGTGGACCTCAAGGTCGCCAGCGAGGTTTTTTGTCACACACTGATCATCCACATCTTCGCCAGTTGGCACTAAAAAAACTTTAAATAATTTGCAGTCACAGTAGGATAGCAAAAACAGAGAGATAGATGTATGAAGAGGAAAGATACTATCTCTGTACTGATGAGAAAAAGCCAAATATAAATGTTCTTCAGCAACATTATCTTTCATCTTCTTCCTGAGATGAAGTTCCTGAAATAGAAATCAGAGTATGACATCCATAAAAGAATACAGAATAAAAAAAAAAAATTAAAAAAATTAAAATCACTGGTTCTTCCACTATCTGCTACAACTGATTTTAACATAAGACACTACTAAAGACATCCTGCCTGAATAATTGGCAGGCTCCTTTCTGAGAGAAAAGAATGATTTCACATCTACATCTACACTGTCCTTTCACATACAAGATCATGGATAGGAAAATGATCTCTGTAAATTTTTTTTTCAATTTTAGCATATTTCTGACATCAACTAAGACCTAAAGTAAATGTTTCATTTTCAATTTTTAAGTGTGTAAACATTTTAGAGCAAGGCTTTGTTTTTTTTACACTAAAATGTCCCACAATATTAAACATGCATTATTAAAAAAACAAGTTCCTGAGCACATATCTAAAACAGTCAGTTCCCTAACACAAAGATCTGTCTTTTTGTAATTGCTAAAAGACATTTATAGCAGGTCTTTAGGCCATGGGAAATAATATTGGTTTCTGTATTAAAAATTAATCTAGAGTTGGGTGAGATAATAACTGAAGGACTCATAAGCAAATAAACATTCATGTTGTGATACTACATGAACACCTCAAACACACAACTACTTTAAAGCAGTCCAATTCAACAGTAGCAGAGCTCAAATTAGCATCTTCTCAGTGTATTAAAAACTCACATTAATTTTCCTTACAGTCCTTACAGAAAGCTACATTTTTCCTACTACAATATTCCACAGGAGTTTAACATAAGACACTGATGCAGTAATTTTTCTGCTCCGTCACTCAGCAGCATTGCCCATTGCCTGAGAGATGAGAGGTGGCACTGAAAAGCCTCAGACACTAGATGGCCCTCTTACCACAGGCGACACAGGGCACAGCTGGAGCACGGTGAGGAACAGAAATTTAACTCTTGCTGAGAAAGGCCAGAATAGGGTTTTATAGACATATATATATATATAAAGCATGAGTGACACTGGAACTGCATCAGTCTTTCACACAACTGTCTAGATTAATAAGGTCTTTGCATAATTACAATTGCTTGCATTTTCCCAAATGCAAGTATTTTAAAATAAAGCTTTAATTTGATACATCTTGATTATTCAATTTCTTTTTTTACATATAGACATATACATCACACTTATTGTATTACCTACCACAAGACCAAAACAAATTGCCCAAAAAGAGGGAATGGAAGAATAAAATCAAGTCCACCTGACATTAAGAATACTAATGTCTGTTACAGTGACACATTTTTAAACCATTAAATGACAAGAGCAGTGGCTCTGCTACGAGTACTGCTGCTTCTCTTTTATTAATACACTGCCACACAAAGAACAGGACAGCACACAATGCCATACCTACTTCACCACAAGATATTTTACTTGGGCAAATCTTGACAGCATGGAAGTTGAGGTAGACTCTATATCCTAAGTGCACCTCTGTGGTAGAAATCATCCAGTGAAGACACTGCCACAGAGGTAAATCAAGAACAGTTACTGCTACCATAGTCACATCCATAGCTTCTAGCATTTAAACTCCTATTCTCAACTACAGTACCTCTTTCAATACTAAAAAGCACCCTTATATGCATTTGGGTTCATATTTATGCTCTTCATGTAAGCTCAAAGAGCTCACAAGTTCATCTTTTGCTGGGCATGCAAACCACTCACATTCACCTCATCACTGAATTTTTTCTTCTAGTTGATGTTCCTGGACTCAATCAGCTATTTTGGTCATTTTCATGCTACGCAAAACTGCTAAATATTCTGGTAAACTCTGGCAAAGTTTCTATTTCCAAAGTATATTATCCTGTAGTTTCCATCTACTAATCACCCAATCTTACAATTTATTTTTAAAAACTGCTTACAAGTAATTTTAACAAACTGGGCTTCCATAATGACTGTAAATTGACACACAGGTCATTAGAATACCAACACATTCAATCTGGATTTATTTGACTTGTTAGTTATTGCAAAAATTTCTATGTCCCTCCACCTCACCAGTAACTGAACATCTCACAGACTTTCCTCTCAGAGAGCCTTGCAAGGTGGACATTTCCTGTGTCCCTGTTACACATCTGAAAAAGCAAAAGCACAAAGAGAATTTATAGCTCAGTGTCACACTGGAAGTCTGTCCTACAGCAAGCCAAACATTTGGACATTTTTCTTTAAGGGCTTCATTGTTTGGTTAGCGGTGAGATTTTGGGGGTTTTTTAAGGTCAGTCCATGACAATGAAAATTACAGTCAGGCTAAGTTTATTCTCAAATCTCCCACAGAAGAGAAACTAAAATAATCTGCCCAGGAGTTCTGTCTATAAGTGACTTTACCTCATTGTTTCCTGTGAGAAGAAAGGCCTTCTTGAATCATCACTTCAACTGTGCTGTACACCCTTACACTGCCACACCCAACCCCTCTCCCATATTTTACTTGTGAGAATTCCTCCCAACATTTTGTCTCCAAGCACTGACACTATAAAGTTGCTTCCTATATTTTTTATTTCCAATACTGGTGCTCTTCCTCACTGATGGAGCTCTGCAGAGTCTATATTCCTTGTGGATTTATGCACAGATTTTCAATTCAAAGATTTAACAATCTGGTTACCCATTCTCACTTAAGTATTTTCACAAAACTACTACCTAGCCATTAAATGTGTTTATTAATCCTTGGAAGCTTACTGAGACAAAAGCAGACACAGACATACACAATCAAATGAAATGTGCAATACAGAACTAACCAAACCTAGTAAGACATTGCACTATTTGCTCACTGTATTTTTCCCAGCACATTTTTCTCTAATTAGACCATAAATTCTGTGGGAAGAGATGGATTTTTATTCTACTGTATTTACAGTAACCACTGTTTGAAAGAGGGAAAATGAAAAGCAGTGACCAATACAGGATTTGCACCGTAACTTAAAAGACAAAGATAAATCATGTTGCCTACCTTTGGTGTAAAAGACACCTACTTAAAAATTATAAATATTATGCCAGTGTAACTTTCACTAGCTGTGCTGTTTTTTACCATTTTCTCTTCCCTGTTCAACATGCACTAAACAATAGCCAAATTAGTTTCACTCAGCTGCCCTGTTAACAACGCAATAAAGAAAAACTGCTTTCAAAACAAGTGCTTCCCATAAAAAATTAAAGACAAATAAATAACTACATAAACATACTCTTCCTGTTAGTCCCTGAAACGGACCCTATTCATTTGCTGATTACTACACAATAAAAGGGATCTTTTGTTAAGCAGGCACGTCAGCATGTGAGAAATGTTTAACACAACGCCACTTAAAAAGGCGGCAAACATTAAACTTAGTGCCAAGCACCACCTGTGCCTCAAGGCACACAGAACCGCAGGCTCTCAAGTTATCTCTATCCAAGACGATCCATTTACTGGATGGATCAGGGCCACCCTGCACAGAAGCGGGAAGCACAGAAAAGCTCCGGACCCGAGCTTCAGGCGGCTCTGCGAATGAAGCCAAAGTTGTGGACGGCTCAGGAGAGCCAGACACGAGCGGGCCACGAGGGGCAGAGCCGGGGCACGGGGCAGCGCCACACGCCCGAGCTCGGCAGAGAGCGACACCACCGAACCGGCACTCCCCCGCAGCCCCGCTCCCTAAAGCCTCTGCTCCCGGCTGCTCCCGGTGCCCAGGCAGCGCTGCCAAACCAGCCCCAGCACTTTACCACCTGCCCTTTATCCTGCCCGCCCTCCCGCTCCCGTTCCTTACCCCGGCCCGGCGCTTCCGCCCCGGCCCCGCCCCTTCCTGCGCCGTTCTCGTCTCCGGTGAGACACCAGCGGGCGGGAAGAGGGGACTTGAGAGGAGGAAGGGAGGATCGGGAAGAGGAAATTTGCAGTGGGAAGGGAGAAGGAAGAGGGTGGCTGGGAGAAGGCAGAGGGCGACTGGGAGGATGAGGGAAGAGGGGAGTTGAGAGAGGGAAGAGGGGGTTTGGCAGCAGGAGGAGGGAATGTTGGGGTTGGGAGGGGAAGAGGGGGTTTGGGAGGAGGCAAAGGGGGTTTGGGAGTGGGAAGAGGCGTTTGGGACGAGAAAAAAGGGTTTGGGTGGGAGAAACAGGGTGTTGGGCAGGAGGGAGCGAGAGGGAGCCCGCAGGCACACTGGCCGCCCTTCCCCTCGCTGAGCCCGGCGTGCCCGGGCCCGGCGGGGCAATGCTGCTTGTAGGAGGGTGGCATTCTGTTCCTTCGAGCATTCTGAAGTGTTGCTTTCATATGCGGGGCCTTGCCTTCGTTTGTAAAAAGAAATCTGGGGAGAAATTTGCAGCGAGTATGTTGCGGAGGGTCGCGTCGTGGCTTTGGCGTAACTGTTTCAGAAATTAGTTTTTAACTAAAGTTTGCTTCTCTCTCTGAGAAACTACCAGGAGGATGATACCCGGGAATTGGTACACTTGATAAGTTTCAGTGTAGACACTGAATAATGCAAAGGTGAAAACAGTAGTGGAGGTGTACTCAGTTTACCTGTGGCTTAAGCCAGTGAGCAGTGATGTGTTGAAACGTCTTCAGGTCCATTTTCTGCAGAATATTGAAGCTCAGTGGTGGCAGAGCTTAACAAATCTCAGTCGTGCAAGTACAACGATCACAAAATATCCTGAGGTGGAAGGCACTCACAAGGATCATGCCATTTATCAGGAAAAGGATTCACAAGGAAAATACGTCACCACTGCTGTGTGGAACAAGGGTGTTAGTGACAGCAGAAACAGATCAGGGTCAAAGAGTTGATGTCTTCTTTGGCCTGGAAGGTCTCCCAAGGCCTTTTGCCACAAGGCAGAGCTTAAGGAGATGAAGAACTACAAGTTGTGGAAGAGGATTGAAGCAGGGTTGTTCCCCTGATAAGTCCATGGGCCCAGGTAGACTGCATTCAAGGGTGCCAGGAACTGACAGGGTCTTCACAAAGCTGCTTTCTGTTATCTTTTAAAGGCCATGAGACTGGGGGAGATCCCAAAGACTGGAAAAAGGCAGATCTTATCTTCGTAAAGGGCAAGAAGGACAAGCAAGAGAACTACAGACTGGTCACCTCATTCCTTCCTGCTGTGGAAGGATAAGGATTGTGGAGGAAGCCATTTGTGGCATAAGGAGGTAAAAACTGGGCAGAGCCAGATCTACCAAGCATAAATCATGCCTGATCAATTGGCCTGTCCTCTGTGACTAGAGCTAGAGCTGGACATGGAGGGAGTGTTGGATACCATCTGCTGTGGGCTTAGGGGGATATCATGGGAGCTTTAATTTACCTGAGGATATTATTGGAAAGATAGAGCCAGTCTCACTCACATGCACAGTGGGAGAATGAGAGACAGCACAGCTTAAAGCCTCCAATTCAAAGCAAGGAAACGAGGACAGTGAGGCAGTGGAACAGGTTGCCCAGAAAGATTTTTGCATTCCTGTCTTTGGAGATTTTCAGGATCCAGCTGGAAAAGTCCTGAGCAAGCTGGTCTGAATTCAGTGTTGACTTTGCATTGAACAGGAGGTTGCACAGGGTGGGGTCCCTTCTGCAAGGAATGATTCTATAATCCTGAAATAATTCACTGTTTCTGTGGAGAAAATAGGGCATTATTGTAATTTTTAAAATATTGGATAAGCTGGTTACAGTGATACTGATTGGAATACTAATTTAAAATAACATTATAAAGTATGTTGTAGAATAAAATGTAAAATTAAGGATGCCAGTACTAGTAACTCCATAGCAGGAGATCTTATATGTGTCTCAAAAGATTCTTTGAAGATGATGACAAGGAAATTAGAACTGATTAATACAATTGTTCTCATTAATACAGTTATCCAGACTACTGAAGTGCGTGAGTTTTGAAATGTCCCTTGTGGAAAGTAACTGAGAAATTATCCTGTCATAAATCAAGTGCTGATTAAGATACTTAAGTAGCAAAAACTGAAAAGAGAAATTCATTTTTCCCCGCTTTTAAGATTTTCCTTGATCTACTCTTTTAAGGCTCATCAGATCTGAAAGTGACCTGGAAGAGGCATTATTAGTAAATAAACAAAATCTACCACTGTCACTGTTAATAGATTTAGTTAGGAAGAAGGTAAATTCTGAGGAACAAAAGGATCCGAAATGACAGGGAAAAGTGAATTGATTTTATGGTGGTAAATGGAAAACAGTGCAGTGAGTGTGTTGGGAGGAATTATAAGCTGTTGATTCATGTGACTGTGTTTTAAGGTAACTGCTACAGATATTGAAGGTAGCTGAAAAGGATATGTGAGTGAAAGGCCTTTTAATCATAAGTGGCAGTAAAAAATAACAATATTGATGAGTCTATAAAAGGATGGCATAATAGCAGAAGTCCATAATAGCACTGCAATATAAATAGATGTGTGCTTTCTTGGAAAAACATCTTTAGTAGTGCACCTGCCTCAGAAAATAATAGGAATAGGAGCTCAGAAACAAATGGTTGAAAATATGACCATATCTGAAAATGTAATGGAAGTAGATCCTTTTAGCTGCAACTTGTGATGAATAAGATAATACATGAGCAAGTATGCAAAACAGTAGATGGCAAATGAATGAAAAAAAGAAGAGGGCTCATACACCCTATAAATCTAATAAATTTTAAATTGGAAGACCATGTAGTCTGCAGAGTGCACAGTTAATGTTGATTGTATTTGGCAGAAGACAATAATATACTCAAGAAATGAAAGAATCCAAAACTTCTTGGATGTTTTAAGAATTACAACTTACTGATTAACATCTATGTTTTCCCATGAATTTAAATCACTTAGAATAGCCCACCTTGGGAGGTAACAGAAACCCAGGCTGAGAAAGGTGCTTTTAGGGTTAGGCTGATGGGGGAATGTGTGGTTGCAAGAGGTTCTGCTTGCTGGGTGCAAAACCTGTTCTGCTCAGGGTTCAAGGGTTTTAACACAGCCCTCTGATCTCACAGCTGCATTATCACTCTAATACAGAAAAGACAGCGTCATACTCACTCTTTTCTAAACAGCATTTAACTATTTCCTGTACAAAGATTCCACTTCAAGAAGAAAGTCAAGGAGGTCTGTCTTGCAGAATCGCCTATGGTTTCATCATTGACACACTCTGCTGTCCTTGTCTCAAGGCTGTCACATTGCTGTGTGCTGACTTGACTGCCAGAGGTGCAGTCTGTACATGCAAACATGAATGAATGAAATCGGATCTTGGGTTTATAAGTGTCAAACCACTGTTTGATACTTAGAAATGGTTTGATCTTTGAACGTCTGGAAAGGGCCACTACCAAAAGCAATAATTTGCCTTTTGGACCAGGACAGATGTTGTTAGTAACCTGTTTGACAGCAGTGTTATTATGGTCCCATAGGAAGAGTGTAATTATCAATTTGCTTTTTTCAGATGATGATATTTTTAAGACAGTTATTGATGTGCTCATCTTTCCATTGAATATGCTTCCCTTTTCTAACTCAGTAGATTTTTACAATTTGAAAATACATTCCTAAACTGAGCATACTTGAACTGTTTACTAAGCCCAGTTTCTTCTCTTCTCATGAGAAATTTCTTGTGATATGTTAGTCATAAGTGAAGTAGCCTGGGACATTATAATTGTCCTCAAGAACAGAGAAAGAATTGCTGCAATTACATAGCAAATAAAAGAATAAATATGGAGAACCCTTTTGAAATTTGGGGTTCCTTTCAATATATGTCTTTAAAAAAACTAGAGCTAGAAGCAAATCTGGGAAGTGTTACCTTCAGAGAGATGAAAATTGAATTATGTTTACATTTATTCTCAAAATATTAGAGAATGGCTGTGAATGGCTGTTGAGGCTGCCTGTTTCTCATGTACACAATTATATATTCCTAGTAGAATTCCTCTTTTGCTCAGAGAAGAACTTGAAGGATTCTTTTTTTTAACAGGGAGTTCTACAAAATTTCTGAAATTAGTGTTTTGATTCTGCAGTTTCCATTCAACAGAGGGTTTAGCAGAGTCCTGGTTTGAGTGTGTGGGGTACTGACACTTGGATGACATGCTCACAGAACAAAGAAATGCAGGACATAATCTACCCACAGATCTCAAGGGCAGCCTGAACATTTATCAGAGGTAGATGGATAAAGAAAAGGGGATATGTGCTTTCTGTGCTCTGTGAATTCACTTTTTGTAATCATCAGAGAGAGACCGAATTGCCAGGACGGGTCTTGCGCTGCAGTCTGTGCTTGATCAGTGATACAGCTGAGTAGCTGGTGGGTAGCACTTCCTGGCAGAAGTTCTGTGGCCACCAGAAAATGATTTGTCAAGTAGCAAAGATTAAGGAAGAGAGAGGAGGCTCTTGAAGAGGTTTCTTAGCTCTCTGTTGGGTCCATTGATAAAATCCCTATGAAGTTCTGTACGTTGAACTCCTTGATGATCTCAGTCAAGCGATGCTCTGGTGTCTCGTGAAAGCTCAGCATGAGATAAAGGTTCCTGGGGACTTGCAGGGAGGTGTTGAGGGAGCAGCCTGCCAGTGCTGGTGTTTTGGCCAGAGAGGTAAAAGTTCACTGCCATGAATATCAAAAGGAATTAATGAGACAAAACCTTAGAAACTTCAGCTGAAAAAGCTGTCCAGACAGTGCTTTTGATGAAAGAACTGATGAAAGGCTTTTCAATAATGTCTTCTAGATTATTGTAGGTAAAAAACCCAAACCCACAAACATCCTGATGTGTTTTACATGAGACTTAAAGGGATTATTAACAATAACACTTCTCATACATTTTTAGAAAATATCAGGAAACTTCTCATGTTATTTC